ATAGTGACGATGGACATGTTTTCTGTGATAATCACCTGCATGCACGACATCTTTGGTCAGTTCTGAATTTCACGGAGCAAAGCATGTATGACTGGACTGTCTCGAGGTGTGAAAGCATTACCTTTCCAAACTTTTCCAGCTCAACTCTCAGCCTCTGATGTTGACAAGAGCCCTCTTCGGAATGCTGAAACGCGAGACTAACGCTGCGCTCGCTAGTAGTGACGAGATCTGTCTTGATTCCCGCATCCTCGAGGCGATCAAAAACGCCGGACAGGAACCCCTGAGACTTGGTGTTTCTATTGCAAACCACATTGACCAAGAGGATATCGTCTTTGACTGTGACGGCGGTAGGTCGCCTTCTCTCTTGCCGATCGCCGTGATAACCATTCCCCAACATGTAGTCAATGGAGGGCAGAGGGACCTTGATGTCGACCTTTTCGTCTGTTGGTGTTGGAGGAGTAAGGGGCGGGGAGGGGGTTCGAGAGGGGTAGATAATTGTGCCGGATGCCGTCGGGTTGAAGACATTCTTCAGTCTCAGGGGAATGTTGGCGCAACGTATTTGATCCATCGTCAAGGGGTGTATGACTTCGCTGCCGTAGTACGTCAACTCTGTAGCTTCCTCCGGCGTAACTGTGGACAATAGTCTTGCCGATGGAACCTTTCTCGGGTCCGCCGTGAATATCCCATCAACCTCTTTCCAGATCTGAAGTTCCGCCGCTTTGGTTCCCACCGCACACATAGCCGCACAAAGGTCCGAGTATCCCCGGCCGACGTTCTTGAGCAGCGAGTCTGGCATGATGCCAAAGAAACCGGTGACGATGGGAACATGGTCGCCGCAGTCATGTATCCTCTTGGTGATCTCGTCTGCAATAAGGTGATAGAACCGAGGGCCGAGGTTGTCCAGTGCCGTCTTCTGGTCGAACACACTAGCACCGAACACTGCCTCAACTATGTCTTCTAGGATGATAGGTTCGGCCGGGATATTTCTGCTACAGAGAAACGCAGCTACAACTCTGCACGCAAGCTTCTCTCCGAGAGCGATGACACGGTCCCGTGCCCTTGGAGATAGCTCCCCGATGATCTGTGCTGCCAAAAGGAAGCCTCGAAGGCTCTCGCACTCCTTTACAATGAGGGTCTTTGTAGAGTCGAAGATGTCGTTACACAAGTCACTTCTTGTGCCATTGGAGTTGACGAGATGCTTCTCGAGAAGCCGGACATGACTATCCCGAATGGCATCAATGTTCTTGTTGAGCAGCGTCTGCGCAGAGAGTCCGGCCTCAGCGTGTGATACGCATTCAAGCAACAGGCTTGTGGTTCCGCTCGACTTGGTGGAACCGGAGAGGGCCGAGCAGACGACAACCAGGTTGTAGTCTCGCAGGTAGGATGGGACGATTTTGCTGCAGATCGACTCGAGGAGTTTTCCAAGGCTAGTGCCACCGTACTTCTGCACCAGCCATGGCCTGTTTTCTCTGGAGGTCTCCATGGTTGGCGGTGGGACTAGGCAGACTGGAGGATGGCAGACCTGTCTTGCGCGCGTGGGACAGTGGAAGGGGTCAGTCGAGCGGGAGCCGAAGAGCTGTGGACCTTGTTCGATTCAAATTGAAATGTGCTCAAGTAACTTGGCCTTATTAAACTCCATATATCGTCGTGTTTTCCAGCCGCAGAAACTCAGTCGACACTCCTTTCATGGGATGGATTGCAAAGCATGACGGCAAGTAGGCGATGGGCGACTCTACATCCGGCGACGACTTTGGTCGAGGGGGGACTCGAGGTCGGCGACGGACGCACTCCTTCGGCCAGTATCCCAGTGTCCATTGCGGAATGGAGAATTGCGCATTTCCACACCTTCGAGGCATATTTCCCAGAGAGTTACTGCTATTGGAGATGCTGTTCGGGATGGGTGGAGTTTGTCCGTCGGTGAGTGCTGCATGATCGTGGGCCAAATCCCGACTCGGGGTTTGAAGACCAGAAGCCACTATGACAACGGGATTCAGCCGCTCGGCGACTGCGCAAAACAGCTTCGCTCCATCGGTTTCGGCGCGGCGTTGTTGGTCTTTGGCGCGAGCTCAAAGTATAGCGGCATTTGGTCGGCGCGAAGTTGGCTGGTGCTAAATGTGGGATGACATATTCTGCAATCTGCGGCCGCCACCATCCATGTATGTGATTGTGTAAGTGACATCGGCGGTGATTGACCCTCGGACGAGTCGCCTGTTATTACCCCCCGCCAACCAATGAATTACTTCGACAGGAGGAGCTGACAAGCATCTATGTCGGCTGCTCCCGTTGCAGACAGAGAAAGCTGCAGGCACGTTGAACAAGGGCTTCTTCCATCCTAGTCACACTCGAAGGCATCTATGCTAGCTCCAGCTAGACTTCGTGGCGCTGGTCGATCATGGAGTACGTGCCGCTTCAACTCACACTGTAGAGAAGCATTGGCCGCCATTCTCACCATCTAAACTGTGCATAGGAGACGATGCATTTGCTATGAGAATATTTTCCCTCGAGCTCAGCGTAGATAATTTGGCATCTGTTTGCCACATCATGTTCGATATGCTTGCAAGTAATTTGATGATCTGAATATCAATTCGTTGAGATATCATTGCTGTCTTTGGTCGACAGTCCTGAATCCATGTCTGGAAAGAAAATCGCTTCGAAGGCAGAGGTAATTCCACCCGTCCTGTTCTCTGCCTTCCCGCCACATGACGATGAAGCAACCGGTAGAAATTGGGGCGCATTGAAACGCTGTGTGAGCAGGCAAAAAGCCTCTCATCTACGTCGTGTGTGTTTGTTGACGTGGTAAAGCCGCTGTCAAAGGCTGCCGATAACTTTGCCTAGCGTCCCGTCCATCTGAAGGATGCCCCTAAATTCGGGCTTTGACCTAAAGCCTGAGCTACCTAGACAGCTCTACCAATCTTCGACTTCGCCCGTCAAGCTTTCCCCAGCCTCGTCTATCGCAAGAAGGTCTAGCGATTCATCTGACTCATGTATCATGTCATAGAGATTCGGCAACTGAGATCTTAGCTGGGCTTGGATCAAGGTATCGAGCTGCTCAAACTCGAGTAGGAAACCGTCATGTCCATCAGATGACTTGAGAACGTGTAATGATGCACCAGGTAAGTTGGTGGCAAGCCGCTCTTGCTGCTTAGGGAGGAAAAGCGCATCGGTCTCCACGCCAATGACCAAGGCTCCCGGCGGTACTCGAGACAACACCTCCGCCAAGCCTTCATCGCCCGATGGTTGCGTCCGGCCATAGGTGACGTCGTGGCTGTCCATCTTGTTGGTGATGTGCAAATAACAATTGGCATCAAACCTATTAATAAACTTCTCTCCCTGATAGTGTAGGTATCCCTGGGCCGAAAATGATGGATTTTGTTTCCGCTGCGAGCCTCTGTCTCTCCTGGGTCTTGGCATTTCCATGATGGACGCGTCTGTCCTCGGAAGATCCAAAGGTGGCTCCTGAGGTATCTGGGGATTTCGTGGAGGTTTTCTCCCGAAGCGGCTATCGAAACTCGTGCAAGAACGATATGTCAGCATGGCAATCATCCGAGCTGCTGCAAGTCCTGCTGAGGGTTGGCCTTCCGGGATCGGCTCATAGTATCCATCGTCGTACTTTGGGTCGGAGTAAATGCACTGTCGTTGGGTTTCAGCCCAAGATATGCCCCAGGCAGAGTGATCAGCAGCCGTAGCAATAGGAACAATGTTTCGGACAAAACCAGATGGTGTACAGAGAGGCCATTCTAGAGTTGTCATGCCACCCATAGAGCCTCCAATGACGGCTGCTACCGACTTGACACCAAGAGCATCAAGCACCATCTTGTGTGCTCTGACATCGTCTCTGACCGTCGTCTGGGGGAACTCGCTGGCATACCGTTGGCCAGTACCTGGGTTAATGGTCAAAGGAGACGCACTTCCGTAGGGGGAGCCCAGGACATTGCCACAGAAGATGAAGAAGTGTCGAGGGTCAAAGGCTTTCCCAGGTCCTATGAGGGGGCTCCACCAGTCGCTCACATCACTGCTCCCCGTCAGAGCGTGGCATATGACCAGAGCATTGTCGCTTGGCTCGTTCAATTTTCCCCATGTTTTGTATGCGATTGGGCAGTCAAAGAGTTCTTCTCCTGACTCCAGCGGGAATGTTGGAATGACGGCGAATCTTTGCCCTCGAATGAGCCGGGAATAGAAGTTGTCGGGATTCGGATCAGAGTCGAGTACTAGTGATTGTAGTCAGTCAGAGGAGACTATTTGCTTGAGCCAAACATTTATTTAACACTCACAGAGAACCATCTTCAGACCTGTAAAGCGTTGGATGAACCCCCGAATGATTTACAATTGTACGTCGCCGTTATGTAGATCGTGTGGTGGTGATGGTTTAGGTATTGCACACGGCACGAAGTCGAGTTCAATGACAGATTTATTCTTCAAATTTGACCGGACGAACTTGCTTCCAAATAGCTGCACCTTTTGCGGAACTAAATGTAGATGTCGTATTGTTCTTCTCAAGTTTAAGACGCTGAAGTTCCAGACAGTTACTGGCTCTCACTGCAAGCAAGTGCCGTCAGTCAGCCAGAGGAAGCCTCAGCAACCGCCGCCAACCGTTCCCCACGGCACAGTCTCGGACTTTCAACCCTTGATACCAAGAGCTGCCTACTTCGTTGTTTCGCATACCCCTATCATCTATCGATGAAGGCTTCGTTGGCGGATCATCAACTCGACCTCCGCGAGCCGGGATTTGAAGACGTTCCGGGATTTGAGCCATAATCCCGACGATCCAAACTCCGGGTTATCAATGTTGCCTCTTTTCCGGATTATCCCGGATGCATACGGCAGAATCGACGATCTCGAACGATAGTAAGGCCATCCAGTAATAACGACGCCCTGTTGTGACGTGAGTCACGATGGGTCACATAGAGGGAGGTCCTTGAAAGCCATAACTGTTGGCACAGTGGCACCTTAGTCGCCAATCCCAGGACCTACCAAAGATTTCAAGCTATACGTGATTGAAAATGGTATCCACTCGTCCTATTGTCAAGGTTGCGGCTGTCCAGGCCGCACCTGTTTCCTTTGATCTGGAAACGAGTCTGCAGAAGCTGAGTAAGCTTACAGAGGAAGCTGCCCAAGCTGGTGCAGACTTGGTTGTATTCCCGTAAGTCCACAATGCTGTTGGTTCCGGAAGATACCGCTAAAAGCTTGAAGTGAAGGGTTCTTGTCTGCGTATCCATGGAGATACGCGTTTGACGCAACGATTGGTGCCCGAGAGCCGCGAGGTAGACTTGTGGACACCTATCCAAATAGGTAGAGGGCGCCGCTAATTCCTGAATCCTAGGACGCGAGTGGTATGCCAAGTACGTTGATTCGGCCGTCGAGGTTCCCTCTCCCGCCTTCGATAGGCTTTGTGAAACAGCCAAGGCAAACGACGTCCTCCTTCATGTGGGAATTATTGAAAAGGCAGGCGGTACGCTGTACTGCACTGCTTTGCTTCTAGACCGGGAGGGGAAGCTGGTGTATAAGCATCGCAAGGTGACACAGCCGATCCATCAAGCCATGTTCGAGACTAACAAGCTTAAGCTCATTCCAACGGCCGCTGAGAGACTTGTTTGGGGTCGAGGCGCCGGAGATGGCCTATTAGTCAAGCCAACGGATGTTGGCAGAGTCGGAAGCTTGATCTGGTTGGCTGCTCCTATTTCCAAGCGTATTTATGGAAAAACATGCTGATCAAGGCGTAGCTGGGAGAATTACATGCCGGCGGCTCGTATGGCGATGTACCAGCAAGGCATCGAGTACGTGGATCTGTTCCGGTGTCAAAGGGAGAAACAGTCGCTGACGTTGACAACCCACACTCGATAGGATTTACGTGGCGCCCCACGCCGATGATTTGGCCACCTGGACAGCATCGATGCAGCATATTGCGAAGGAAGGGCGATGCTTTGTAGTGTCTGTCAACTCGTTCTGCAAAGTATCGGACTTCCCGCCTGACTACCCGCCTTTTACGGCCGAACACCCCGATCGGAGGCCGGACGGAGCACAATGGGAGGCGGATGATATTCTCAACCACGGTGGCTCATGCATCGTCGGGCCGCTGGGCACATTTCTTGCCGAGCCGGTGTGGGACAAGGAAGAGATTGTCTATGCCAGCCTCCGAATGGCAGACATCACGGAGTCCAAGGTAAGTTCCCCGATACAGGCTGCGGCCATCCGCTAGTCATGAGATAGATTCCAAACTAACGGCGCCTTGCAGCTGGACTTTGACCCCATCGGCAGCTACTCCCGGCCCGACATCTTGTAAGTGGTCCCTTTTACGACATTAACAAGTGACAAGCCAGACAACCCTGGATGTGATGTGCGCCGATCCAAAGCTGACAAGTCGTCTCAGTTCATTGACGGTCAACACCAAGCCGGCCGACAACGTCGTATTCACCAGCTGATGTCCCATGCGTATTGAGCATGTTTGCGGGCAACGGCGGCGTGGGGGTGTGAACGGCAGGCGGGGTGCGGTGCGGAGTGACCAGGATGTTGTGCGCTCGCGATTTATGGGACCTGACTCAGAGCTTGGGTGTTGGAGGTTGCTCGGCTGCAGGGTCAGGAATGCCAGCCAGGCTTGAGGCGAGACGGCGATGTTGGTTGGTCGCACCAAAGTTCGAGAAGCTTTTCTAGATGTCCAAGCGAGCAAGTTGGTCCGACGATGTTTGACGCAGAGGCATGCCACCCATTTTGGTGCGTAGCCAAAATGGTCTCGGCTCATTATGTCGTACACAGTCGATAGTGAAGCCATGCTGGGTAGAAGCGGCTTGTCAGCGTTGATAGGCTGAAGCTTTGATCTTGGATGCATCGGATACTTGAAGATGAGATGGCATCCTGATTGGAACACACTGCCTCCTATTGAGTGAACGACTCGGAAGGAATACGTGAGAAGTCTAATCCAAAGCTTAGATGCTGAAGAAGAGCTACTAATCAATTCTGTTCTTGGTCGAGTAAGAGAGAAGGGAGACCAAAACGTGATGTCGAGACGTTCCGAGCTGTGATCCAATGGAATCCTGCGGTGCTGCGAGCCCAACTGGCAGTGGCATAGCTGGCATGATTTTGGTTGCTAGTCATGCTGCAATTCGTTTCCACAACCGCTTGGAGTTCTAGAACAGGGAAACGCGACCATCCGGACATTTGATGGGGACACAGAGAAGAGCTGCGGAGTATTCTGTAGAAATGCGGAATTGACGTCAAAAAGTCGTGTGCTCGGGCTCTGAAGTCGGGTGTTGGGGACGCGGCGCCAACGGCGAGCAGACGGCGAGACCGCAGCAGGAAGGAACGGCAGGTCCCATGCACCTAAGGAGGCGAATGTAGGTAGGTACCTTCCGTGCGTGAATGCCACCATGCCAGGCGAGCGACGGTTGGGTTGTGTGGTTGTGTCAGGTCAAGTCAGGAACGGGGGTGATTTGGCTGCTTAGGAAGGCAAGAGCAATGAGCATCCACGCACCCACGGCACCTTCTCTCAGAGAGTGAGGGACAGGAAGGAGGTAGAGAGACAGACTACATGGTACTGTGCGACTTGAGAAAGTTTGCTGTGCGTGATCCCTGTCCAAAGACCGGCCCAGCCAGCTGCAACACTGTGCGCAAGTTTTTCTCATTGGGCCAGGTCCTCGGTACGTATATCACGACTTGGGTGCTTCTAGCCAATGCGATTGGCCAACTCTGTCGTCTATCCAGGCATTTTCTCCACTGACTTCCCCACCCTGCCCTTCGCCCCGGGACAGTGACACCCACGCACCTTCTCCATCTCAACTCCCGAGAGAGAGGAAGGAGGGGAGGAAAGAACTCGAAAGGATACAGAGGCGTGAGAGGGAAAGGCAGAAGCGAGCGAGAGAGGGACCAAAACAGAAAAAGTACATGCACAATTCCCAATGATCCCAGACAGCCCTGCCTCTTTGCCTGGTCTTTTGAAAATTGAAAGTCGCAGCGTGCCGTCCTAGCCCTGTCACGATCGAACGATCCGCAGGTCGCCTTCCCCCACCCTTCCCTGTCCAGTCAAACTGTTGCCGGCCGTGCCTTCTCCTTACAAATCCCACCCGGTCGCCGCATTTTGCCCCTCTGCCGCCGACTTGAGAAGGAAAGGCACGAAGCAACGGGAAACAGCAACAGCTCCTGCCTGCACTTGCACCGTACCCAAACCGACCTGCATCTGCACCTGCCTACGCCTGAGCGCCTGCCTGCATCAGCAGCCCAGCACCTGCCTGCGACCACCCGCACACCGTACCTGAGGTTTTTGGGTAGGTATCACCAAACAGCAAAGGAAACTACGACTGCAATTGCACCTGGCCAGCTGGCGACACCGGCCGCGACAACCTTCCCACCTGTCGCCTCTTCTTCTCCCCTCCGTTTTTGCTGTCCAACTGTCAACACCCTCGAAGCTCCAGTTCACTCTCCGGCCCGGCCGTGGCAGACATCCAGTCATCCACACCTCGACTCACCCAGCGCTTCCCCCTGTGTCGCTGCCATTTCATCTTATTACGTACCGAATCCCGCGATACCGACGTTTCTGCGCGCCGTCTCGAGTCCAGACACCTTATTAACCCGTGGATCGCGCAAACAAGGCCCCAAGCCCGGACGACTCCGCCCCCGCTCCGTGTGACAATCCCCGATCCGCCCGGAAGGATTCTTGTCTCCCTCAGTTTTGCCTCCCGTAGCCATCGGTCTCTCTCCGACCAACGCAGTTGACCTCACTTGATCTCGTCCGTATATCCTTATTGTTACATTCGGTCATGAGCACAATGACAGAAGCCGTTGTACCTCCTGGCCCGGCTTCCGCAGCTAAGAAGAAGTTTGCTACGCCCCCGGTAAAGATTGCGTGTCTCGCCTGGTAAGCCTTTCTCATCTACTACTCATCGAGAGGGAGTATTGGTCAAAGTAGTGGTCGTGTCTTGACCGACGACTTTGACCAAGACGCACACATCTCGGATCTGTTACTCACAAATACATAGTCGAGCTTCCCGTACACGATGCGATGGAGCAAGCCCATGTGCTAGTGTAAGTCTCTATCTCCGGCTCGACCCATTGCTCCAGTCATGCAGGAGAAAGAGCGACTGACATGATGTAGTGTAAAAGTAGGGGGCGCGATTGCGTCTTCAAGCCCAGCAGAAGAGGCGGCGCCCGCGTGAGGCGAAAGCCGCGGCCGGCTGAAGAGCTGGCTCAGCAGGTTCAGGCGTTCAATGGCGAGATGCCTCCAGACGAGGTCACTCATCAAGATCGTGAGTCTTTGCGCTTGGGATCCTCGTCCGAGCAGCTCTTGACCGATGCTACAGCCATCTCTGTTCAAAACTACATCGACCCTGGCGCGGGCTTGAAGCAGTTGCAGGACTTCTTCCAAGACAGCGACTTCATCTTCGATACTCTCTTCATGTCGGGCGTTCCTGGCAGTACCAGCGGCGAGAGCGCATCCGAACACTCATTTACCTTTCCAACGCCTCAAATCCCAGTCGCCAGAACGTATAAGAGTGACCAAGCCATGTAAGAAAAGCAGAGATCCCTTTCCTGCATCTCCAAGAGAATGCTAGAATTGACGACCAAACAGCCTCGATGCGTACTACATCTTTATCCACCCCTTCTTCCCTATTCTTCCTGCTCCTTCCGGCCTGCCTATGGATCAAGCTGTTCCACACTTTCAAAATGACACGGAAGGCTTCGCAGACGAATATCAGCCATCAACGCCGATCAGTCTGGCCATCTCTGCAATCCTCGCCTTGATCCCGTATCACAACGATACCAACCATCTCAACAAGGAGTCAGTAATCTTCCGCCGGAGGTATGCGCAATACCTAGCACAATGCGCCATCGAAAGCATCGAGATTGAGTCAGAAATCCCGGATTCGTCCATTGAGCCGCCCAAGGCGCTCAACGAATCTCCAGACGACTTCCCCAGGCAGCAATTCCACCCAGGCGTGCCTATCGAGCTGGAGAGTATAATCGCTTTGGATATCCTTAGTGTGTATGAGTATGCGCAACGGGGCAATCTGAAGAAGATGCAGGCGCGAGCAGGCCAAGCCCTGGTTGCTGCCATGTCTTTGTCCATCCACACTTGCGCCGAAGAGGATGCATTCTCAGAAGCGAGGCGGAGGGTTTGGTGGATGACGGTGCGTTCCTCTTGCTCTGCTGCACAACACAGCTTGCTGACGATGATTACAGTACATCTGCGTTTGTCAGGGATCGATTGTCAGCAACTCGGTAAGTCCTCGTAGTCACGCAATAGGAGCAAATATTCACCTGCCATCTAGGAACCAACATTCTCAGTGTTCACCCCCAGCTACACTGCCAAATACCCCGTGATACAGTCGGATCCCGAGGTATGTATCATGACGAATTAGCTACGATGGATGCTGACCATTTTCTAGGCTTTTGCCGTCTACATACAGGCACAGCAAGCGATCCTGTCAGCAACCCAATTTGTCATCGAGCTAAACAAGACTGTAAAGTCCGGTGGTGACATGGCACGAATCTATGCGCGCATGAAGGAAATGGAGGCATACCTCGAACCCCTCAACACCATGGCCGACTCTTGGATCCTTCAGTCAACCACAACGACGCCACTGGATCCTACGGAGGAGGTCTTGTCCCGCTCCCTCCGCTGCATGGCTCGAATCAAACTTAACAGGTAAGAATCTACATCTCCTTCCAGATCAGGTGCAATTGCTGACGACCAACAGCGCACGAATCAAACTCCACCGATACTGCGCTTTCTTTGACATGCCCGTCTTTTCCGGCAAGTACTGCGATCTCAAGTCCAAAGCCGACAACGATGCCAACATGGAGCCACGGAGCTGGCCATCATGCTCTTGCAGCTCCATGATGAGCTTGCCATCACCACCAGTGGCCATATCAAACGGATCGACTACGCCACCGGGGAAGAAGTCTCCTCACTCGGAACATTCGCCCAGCAGCCAATCGCCAGCGACGTTTCCCTTTAGCAGTCACCAGTCGGCCAAAATCTGTCTCAAAGCAGCCATCAACATCTCACAATCCTTTGATGACCTGCCGTATCCCAATCCCTTTGGTCAGCTATGCCCCGCTCCTTGCTATCTCGCCCCCACATCAACAATCGTATGTCCGAGGACGATGCCCTCGTTTGCTTGCTGTGCTATGCAATGCGCGTACGCGTTGCTTATGGTCAATCACAAGACCAAGGCCATGTACCCGGAGAACGCACTAGCCACTCCGATGGTGGAAAGCCTCCTGATGCGACTGCAGACGGGTTTGGCCTCTATCTCGGCGACACTGGAAAATTATGCCACGGCGTTTGAAGCACTTGGTGGGATGCGCGGTAAGGAAACCCCTCACAATTTTCAGACTTGGCTTGCCCCTTGTCATTTGGCCCATTGCTTTTTTCGTTGTTGCTAACGTCATGCCGCAGACCAAATTCGGAGTGTCATCGAACCCACCATGATGTTTGACGGACCGGTCCAGTAATGGCCCGATCGGCATTTCGCCTCCAGTTTATCCCCAGTCTATCTGCAGACTGCCTAGTGCCTCGCATCTCGCCGGGCGCCCGCATTGTTCTGTTTCTAACGGCATCTGACGACATCCCGATATGGGATCTGAACACGGCCTCTGGGTGGAGTCTCGGGAACGTCTGGGAAAAAGGGGGGAGGGGGGGTTTTGCGGGGTTTGCTCACTTATCAGCAAAGACCGGAGATCGAGAGAGCTCCGACATGCAACAAGCCGCAATCTGTGCACCCATCTGAGGGGTATCGAACGACTGAAACGAAGTGATGCATTTGCTCCAAGGGCGTTGAGGAAACATTTAAGATTTTGTCATTTGCCATGATGGGACGACAAAAAGTTGAAACGGCAGCTTTCAACAGAGAATTCGGAGTTGGACCAGGAACCGGAACGAACTATTAGACTACTACCCCTCTCAAAACATATTTTTACCACCTTCAAAATGCCTGTGTCCGGATCTCTTAGCAACGTGGACTGGTGAGAAGCCCGTTCGGCCTTTGCCTTGATACACATTGCTACTTGAAGCTAACAACAATGGCCAACTAGGGAACCAAGCTTCTCCACGCTTGCAGTTCACGGCGGCCAAGAGCCCGACCCAGTCAACGGCTCCCGAGCTGTGCCTCTGTACCAAACAGCCGCCTACAACTTTACAGATGCCGCAGGTCAGTAGCTTCATCCTCGGACCGATCACGCAATACATGTATGCATCTACTGACGTCGGAGTACAGATGGCGCCAGCAAGTTCGCATGGAGCAAAGATGGCTACGTCTACACGCGTATGGGCAATCCGACCAACAGTGTCTTCGAGACGCGCATGGCTATGCTCGAGGGCGGCGTAGGTGCGGTAGCCGCGGCGTCAGGCCACGCTGCGCAGTTCATGGCCCTGACCAACTGCTGCGAGCCGGGCCAGAACTTTGTCAGCACCAGCTGGCTGTACGGCGGCACGTACAACCAGTTTCGTGTGTACATGAAGAAGTTCAAAATCGACGTCAAGTGGGTCGTTGGCAATGAGCCCGCCGATATTGACGCCGCCATTGACGAGAACACACGATGCGTCTACATTGAGACGATCAGCAACCCGAAGCACAGCGTCCCGGATATCAAGGCCATTGCGGACGTGGCGCACAAGCACGGCATTCCCCTCATCGTGGACAACACCTTCGGCATGGGCGGGTACCTGTGCCAGCCCATCAAGCAGGGCGCCGACATTGTCACACACTCTGCTACGAAGTGGATCGGTGGCCATGGCACGTCGATGGGCGGCATCGTCATCGACGGCGGCCACTTTGACTGGAGTGCGTCAGGCAAGTTCCCCGGGTTCACGGAGCCGGCGGACGGATACCACGGGCTCAAGTTCTGGGAGACGTACAGGTACAAGGCGCTCTCGGCAAAGCTGCGGATGGACAGCATGCGTGATCTTGGACCGTGCCTGAGTCCCTTCAACGCGTGGCTTCTGCTCCAGGGTCTGGAGACGCTTGCGCTGAGAGGAGAGAGGCACGCCGAGAACACGCAGAAGCTTGCCGAGTGGCTCGAGGCACACCCTAGCGTCAACTGGGTGCTATACCCTGGCCTCAAGTCACACCCCGACTACGAATACACCAAGAGGGTGTTTACCAATGGTGCGGGTGGTGTCTTGACCTTTGGCGTTGTAAGTTGACCACAAAGTACAGTCCCAGCTAAACTGCAGTCGCTAACCATCCCGAATCCAGGCCGGAAACATCGAACAAGTCCGCTCCGTCGTCGACAACCTCAAGCTCTGCTCGCACCTGGCCAATGTGGGCGACGCAAAGACTCTTATCATTCACCCCTGGGTGACGACGCACCAGCAGCTCCCCGACGAGGAGAAGATCAAAGGCGGCGTCACCCCGGACCTCATCCGCGTGTCGGTCGGCATCGAAGGGTTCGAAGATATCAAGAAGGACTTTGAGCAGGCGTTTGACAAGGCCGGGTTGCCGGCGGCGACCAAGGCGGGCGGGGACCCGTTCTCCAAGGCGCTGAACCTCGTTTCGGGCGGGTTTATGGGGAAAGCGTCGACGGGCGCGCCTAGGCCTGGGACGGATGGGACTATTTCTGTTAAGGCTTGAGGTGTTGCTTGGGAAGCGTGACTTTGGGAGGTTCTTTGATTTTGTGTCTGGGCGTGTGGGCGGATTGGAAGATGAGTTCCATGTGTAGGAAAGAACTATGGTAGATACCTAGACAATATGGCTGCTCAGGACAGCAATGTGACGATCATCTTGACTACTTGAGTAAGCACTTCATGCACGTTTGCGATGAATGTTGCCGGCGGGCGTGAGACTGCGGTATCACAACATTCGCAATCCCCTTGCACGGCTTTCTTGGGGTGGTACCTGAAAAGTACCTCAGGTAGGTAAGCAGTCGCTTGTGTGGTAGGAGGCACAGGCATGGACACTCGCGCTTGCCAAATGACCTTGAGCTGCGATACCCCTCTGTCCCGTCCCTGCCGTGCCCCGCGCCGAGTTGTCTTTCGGTACCTTTGTCTGATTACATCATCATTTACAACCTCAACACCGTCGCTCCCCTCAACGACGTCTCATCTACACATTTTCCAACCAAGAAGGCATCAAATTCCCAAACTCACAAGGGCACGTAAACCTCAGCTTACTCAAAAGAAAAGACCACAATTCAAGCTCTCAACATTCCCTGTGATAATATCACCAAGATACCGCGCCTACCTACATTAACACACCGGAAGCCGGCCATGGGCTTCATACCACCACACATGCTCAAGGCCAAGGCAGCGAGCCAGAACGTCTCTGCTGAAGAGCGGGAGGCGTCAAGGAAGACGATGGTGATGGATGCTGCTAGACAGGCGCAGAAGGAGGGTGGGGAGAAGGGAAAGACGAGTGGTGGTGGTGGGGGTTCGACGGAGGTGAAGGGCGAGCACAAGAAGGGTGAGGAGGGGGAGAAGAAGTGATGCTGGAGGATGGAAGATGCCGCTTTTGAGATTGGGAGACGCGCACGGCTGGACGGAGTGCTTTATGATTAGGACATACCGGAACGAAGATTGATACCAACCTCGGTCCTTAGGTAAAGAAACGAGACAACCACAAACACCAAAAATGGAGCGGCAAAAAAGGGATTAGGTGGAGAGAGAATGATCTGTTCGGGTCTCCTTTGCTTGTTGAGAACAATGGCAAACCAAAACAGCCCTCTAACTCAGCCAACAAATTGCACAAATTGCATTCCTTATTCCTTTGAACCCTTAGATGAGAGACATGCCATCACGGGCTGAAAGGCTGACAGCTGCAAAGGCGATCTCAGCTTGATGGAAAAAGGGCATGTCACCGGTAATATTTCGTCCCAATTTCCCCAGAAAACAATTCAGGAACCAGTCAAACCTGACTTACTGACCAGTACCCATCCAAATTAGAAGACAGATCCACTCGCCATCCCAGTCCCAACCAACCGCAGCAGGCCCAGATTTTCCTATCTGACCAACACGACGAGAATCAGTCGATGCGAAAACAAGAGCGGCGGACCCTTGCAGCGCGGGAGTTCTCGGTCCCGCTGGGGCAGCCTGCCAGCCTCAAAATTCCCAAGACCTGAAGAATCACACGGTCGCACCGGCGTCCTGCGGCGGATCGCCCTACACATTCACCCCGCTAAAGCACCCGCGGTGGATCCCGCCCGCCAGCCTGGCTCTGCCCAGCTTCCCTGGCCAGCACCCGTCAGGGTAGACCAGAAAGTGGTGCGACTTTGGCACGAACCAGAACATCAGACCACCATCGGCTGGTTGGCTCTCTGCCCGACGATAGGGACTGCACCACGCAACTTTGCAAGTCAATGAGGGATCAGCTCATTGAATTCTTCTCGGCGCATGATGACGCAGAAGGAAAGGTTGGGGTCTTGCGAAGACATGTCGTCCCGTTAATGGCCGGTTAGATGGGACCCTTTTCCGTCTCATTCAAATATCGCGGGGTCCCCTTTTTCTGACGCGTTTGGAGAGGGTGAAGAGAGACATTGAGAAGAACCATTCACGATTCGAGCATTACCAAACCGACAAGACGACGATCACCACTGTGTAAAGGATTCGACAGCTTTGAAGCGAGTTTGTTTCTATCGATACTTCCGAGGGATTCGACTAGCATTGGGAATCTTCAAACACCAACACCAAGAACACCACAAGTCTCGTCCCCGCCATAGCGAAGAAACCGCCAAGATGGGTCTCATGAGGCACATGAACCACATCGACCGCGAGGAACTCTACACAGACCTCGAAGCCCGCATCCGCTACCTCCACAGCTTTCTCGACTTCAGCAGCAGTACGTCTCTCTGGTCACCTTCTTCCGAACAGCAAACACCAACTCAGGATACGTCTACTGACCAACCCCACTTACAGAAGACATCGAGGCCCTCATCCACGGCGCGAAATACGTCAAGGCCCTCATCCCCGCCGTCGTCAACATCGTCTATCACAAGCTGCTGCAGTACGACATCACCGCCCGCGCCTTCACCACCCGCTCCACCTCCTTCGAGGGCCCCATGGACGAGGTCCCCGACGACAACTCACCGCAGATTCTGCACCGCAAGATGTTCCTCAGGGCGTATCTGGCGAAGCTGTGCTCTGATCCGAGCAAGATGGAGTTTTGGGAGTATCTCGACAAGGTTGGGTATGTAATTCTGCCTCCTACGGTCTACCTCTATCCCTGTAGACTTTGATGCGCCGTTGGCAAGAGACAACAGACAGCTAACGACACAACAGAATGATGCACGTAGGCCTAGGCCGCAAACACCCCCTCAACGTAGAATACATCCACCTCGGCGCCTGCCTCTCCTTCATCCAAGACATCATGACCGAAGCCATCCTCTCCCACCCGCGCATGGTAATGCAAAAGAAGATCGCCCTCGTCAAAGCCCTGGGAAAAGTCATCTGGATCCAGAACGACCTCATGGCGAAATGGCACTGCAAAGACGGCGCAGAGTTCCATCGCGACGGCGACGAGGATGGAGAGGGGATCGAGATTGAGGAGGAAGGGTATCTTCACGGGAAGAAGATTCTGGAGAGCGAGAGTGACGAGGAGACTGCTGTTAATGGAGTTCCTGGTGGCAATGGACCGAAGTCGCCTAGTAGGTTACCTACGAGAAGGCCGAATAGTCCTGGTAGTGGAGGGGTGTGTCCATTTACGGGGATCTCGGCGGGGGTGGAGGGGATGAAGGTCTCTGAGGGCAAGACGGAGAAGGAGGAGGGACCGCAAAGGGTTGAGGCTTCTGTTTGAAGCCATCGCGGGAGGTGTTTTGCGAGAATTCTTTGCATTGCTTAGGTGCATGGTCGGATGGCGTTTAGGGTGTTTGGTATTGCAGTTCGTGCATTGGGTACGAGATGGATTTATTATAACCGCTACTTGAAACGGTGTCTTGCTACCCCGAGAATGCCTACTTCAACTGCCATAACTCTTTGCTGCTGTGCTGCTCAGGTCATACGCGTAAAGTCATCATCGGGACTCGGTGGGCGGATACGCGCCATCAGCCATGACAACCCCCCCGCTGAGATGAATACCTGAAAGAGATGTTAGCAAGATGCTTAAAACAAGATAAGAAAAACCCACTCTCAGAGCCGAGGCCATCTAGGCCAGTTTACGGTTCCAAAATGATTCTTGAGAAGCCTTTACAAGGACATCGATCTTCCCAGTCATTGTTTCCAGTCGGTTGTTCATCATATCTTGTTGGTGGGAGAGTTCCTTCAGAATGTTGCGGATCTCAAGCATGAAAGCCGACTGTTGCTTGGTATTTGCTTCGATTGATTTCATCAGATCCTCGATCGTGCTTCTCTCCACACACTCTTCAGTGACGTGGATTTATTGCCAGCTGAATACGTCGGGGATGGAGGTTTGTATCACGAGGCGAGGCCGGAGCCAAGGAGGCGAGAAAGCTTGGTGATGAAAACGAAAGAAGAAGTAAGAGGGACCGGATCGTGCTCGCCCTTGTACAAGGTACAAAGATGCAATAGACGTCTATGCAATCGAGAGGTAGGTGATGGGGGAAAGTGAAGCAAGAACCGGCAGTGGCGTTGAAAATTCCGAATGCCCTCACAATACGGCGAAGTGAGGAAGGTTTGAGATGGGAGGTGCAAAGAAGAATCAGGCAGAGGCTCCCAAGGGGGATTCGGAAAAAACTACTCTAGTAGTGTTGTGAGAAAGCGAGTGGGAAGGAGCGATGGCTGCTCTATGCACGGGAGAAATAAAAAAGACGAATACCCTTTCGCTCCCCATCGACCCCTCATAATGTCTGAAGCCTTGATGATACGTCTGCCATCACTGGAGATCTTGGTACACTCTTATATTCTACGTTCCCGGCTGACCTCAGGACTAGACAGACAAAGTCCAGAAGGCATAGAAACCGCGGGGTCCTTCAAAGAACCCAGGGACTCGGTCTCACTTTCCATCGAAGTACTTGCGCCTGCACCAAGGATGCCTCCTCAGCACATTCGACTTTCTTTGGTCCCTCCTCACCTTCCTGACCACTTCATCAACGGCCTTCAACGGTCCTTTCTAAGAGACAACACCAAACGCAAGCACTTGACACCGTGGAAGATGTCGTCATGATTGCTCTTCGCCATCAGAACGGCTAATGAGGGGGACATCTACACAGGGGAGATCACACTTGCTATTCTCTGAAGCATCTGGACATGGAAAAAAATTGGCGAGACTTCCACAGGCAAGTATCTAGGAAGTCATTTAGCCAGAAACGAGGCCCAAATCAGGTTCGCAGGATCCACGCTTACCGAGCTGAATGTTGAACAAGAAGCATTACCAGCTCCTTCGCCCAGATATCCATGACTTTCAAGGTTCGACTTGTGGTAGCTTGATATGACTTCACCCTTCTGGGCATGGAGCTGGTGTACTGAAAGATTCTGCATGTAAGGGAAGGGGCTATTCCCCAGGTCTGTTTACCATTGTTCCAAGTCTGAATTATCCTACAGTGCCGCAAATCCTGCGAAAAAGAGTCCAAGTCCACCCAAATCACGGCTCTAGGAAATATCCTGGTACCTGATCCTCTTCAGCAAGCTCAAACCCCGAGGTTCAAATATAAGACCAACTTTTAAGCAAGTCCAAACATCCTCACAGCTGAAAATCTGGTCCCTCCGTTCTGCGACGCTTCTTGCCCTGATAGACCGATACGCGTCCGAGCATGCCCTCCATGTTGCCTCTCATCTCCTCCAGCTGCTTCTCCAAGCTCATCGTGTACGACTCCTTTGCATTAGCGGCATTCATTCTCTCGGCGCACTTCTTCGCCAGCGCCTCTACCTCGGCCTTCTTCGCATTCGTCTCTGCCTTTTGGGCGTTCAACTCCGCCTTCTCGGTCTGCACCTCGGATTTCATAGCTTCCATGGCCAGCTTCATCGCTTCAAGCTTGCTCTCCATGTCGCTTGCTTTCTCGTTGGCTTGGCGGGAGATCTCCCGCTGATACTGTAGTTTGTGTGCGGATACAAGTGGCTCGCGATGAGCTCCGTAGCCATGGCGCGGGCTGTGCTGGGCACCCTGCGATCGCTGTTGAAGGCACAAGATTTCGCTCTGAAGACTTTGGGTAAAGGCGTGCTTGTCACTGACGTCCCTCTCGAGCTGCTGGATCCTGTTAGACTGCGCTGTAGAGCGATGCTGTAGATCCTGTTGGGCTTTGTTGAGAGCAGCTTGGGTGCGTCCCTTGTGTACAACTTCCAATTCAATGTCGCGCTGCAGCTGCTCGACCTTGGTGTGACTCTGATGGAGCATGGTATACAGTTCTGTGAGCTGCTTCTCGAGTCCTTCGCTGACCTTGATTGCCTCCGCCTTTTCGCTCTCAAGCTTTGCCGTTGATTCGTTCATCTTTTCGACCGTTTCTCTGACTTCGTCATTTGCCGTCGTCAGTGTTTCGATGTGTTCACTTTGGGACTGGAGCTTGGCGTTGAGTCTACTGAACTTGCTGTCCATGCGCGCCTTCTTTCGCTCCATCTTCGCCATCTTCGCCTCAAGATCAGCATTGCTGTCCGCAAGAGATTGTTTGCGTTCAATGAGAGCGTCTCGTTCGCCTGTGAGATCCTCTTGTCGCTCAATCAGAGTGGCTCTCCCAGCCTCAAGCTGCTCGTTGAGAGTGGCCAGCTCTGTGCGCTTGTTGACCTCAGTCTCGAGCTTCTTATTCTTCTCGCGGAGACTCTTGATACGATGCCTCTGGTTCTCAATTGTCGCGTCTTTCACGGTGTCCTCCTTCGTCATCTTTTCCATCTGAACGCAACGGCGCTTTAGGTCCGCTCTCATGCTCCCAATTGTGGTGGACTTCATGGCGTTCTCCTTGTCCAGTTGAATGTTTCTTGCCCGGAGCGTTTCGGTTTCCGCATTCACCACTCGCAGTTCATGACGCAGTGACCCTGTCTCGTCAATGAGACCCTCCGCAAGATGCAGCAACTTCTCTCGATCATAGCTGTCGATTTTCGCATAACTTTTGTGCTTCCTCATGGCATGCTGTGGCTCATTGTTTGCACCCGAGAGTTCAGTGCTCTGCTCCTGGCCTTGAAAAGCTGGCGATGCATTTGCTGCGGCTTCCCTGTGAAGTTCTCGCAAGACCAGCAACTCCTGCTCGTAAGCTTTCTGGACGATGCGGAGTCGAGACGTTTCCCAAGTTCCTCGTGACGTCGGTGTCGACCTGTCAGGGCCGGTACACTCCTTGGCGCAACAGTGTTGGTAAACTTCGCCGCCACTTGTAACCGGATACCACTTCAAATGCGGAGCCCCTGGAAGCTCTTCGCGCTCCGAACTTGGATGAAGGTTGCATGCTCTGGCAATAACAACTCCATTGCGGCGCTCATCCTCGTTGTGACGTGCGATGACAGTGATGGCGATGATTTTGACGATGTATTTGTCTTGGCGCGTGGCATCAATGATGAATCGCCAACGGTCACCCGTGATTCTGAATGTGCTTCCTTCGCCATTAAACAGACGAAGAAGATTCGTGAGCTGCGAAAGGTTGGCGGCGGGAAAGCCGTGAGTTGCAGCGAGTCTCTTGATGACTGGCTCCCAGCGTTTCCAGCATTCTCTGTCGATTTCGAGAGCCATCGCGGCTATGCTGTTGCGTCTCAAGCTTTCTCGATGGCGATGGTGGCTAAATCGAAGTTGTTGAGAGCATAAGAGGATGACGCGAGGGCGATGTGAAGTGAGCTTAGCGATAATCGGGAATCGAGAGATCGTCGAATACTCGAGACAAGTACTCGGGGGGGCACAGAGATGACAGCGCGAGAGAAACCGAAAGAGGTAAGAGCAAAGAAGATCCGTCCAGAGCTGCAGTTGGAAGGAGGGAGACTGGAAGAAGGGAGAAGAGAAGGATCAGAAAGCAGAAATTTGGCAAGGTGGACGGCGGGTGAGGTGAAGGAAGGTGCTATTCCACCTTCAGGAGGGAAGGAGGGAGCGACGGGATGCACCTGCCTCACATAAGGCGGTCGCGACTGCCTCAGGAAGATCAAAAACAATGAAGACAGGTACGTACTCACTGAGCCTTACTTGTTTCTGACTTTTTTCATCGTTCCCTTCATACTTTTGAACGATAAACAACGACGAACATTGTTGGGGCCCATCCCTGCAGATTTCAATGATGCTCAACTTCAAGATGGCCTTGTCGTCTTCGCCGTTTCAACCCCTGGCGAGCCTCCCAAATGAACTCTTGCTAATGCGGGGGACTCATCGCGGACGGCCTCACTATGACCGACTTATATGCATCAAGACGGTCAATGAGGGCAAGGATGGGCAGACGAGATGATGCCTACCAGGCGTCGGACGCTTCTGTACCGAAGCGCATCCCAAATTCCCGAGAGTCAAGTATCTAGACACGCATCCTGTCAGGAACGAGCTCGAATTTACATTCGTAGGGTCAACACTCACTAACTCGGATTCCTAGCGGCAACCATCACCAGCTCCTTCGCCCAGATGTTCAAGCTGGCCCCAGCTGATGACTCTACCGACGTGAGCTGCCCACGCTCCTAGCTCATGAGCAACACCAGCGTTGTCAGTACCATTGACCGGCAGCGTCATTGATCGACCTACATGCCCGAGAGATGCTGAGGCTGACATACAGCAGAGAGGGACACAACACTGATTGGTAACAAATTAAATCTGGCGTGTATTCGAGGTCTCTGCTCTACGAGATGTATCTCTACCATGCCCCATCTAGAGCGCCAACCCATGCAATCATTTACAAGTACTGTATAGTTTACATTACACATTCGGTGCAAGGAGATCGTATTTAACGCAACGTTCAACCTAGGGATCGTTAGCAAAGGTACACCATCAACAAAAACGAGTTCACTACTCACATCTTCGATGCTCGCCTGTAAGAACCGCCGGGTCTCCAGGCCAGCCCACACGACCAACATGCTGAAATCACCATGCTTCGCCATCTCGGCACCGCTCTGCGCGCTCAGCTGTCGGAGAATGGGTAGAGAGCTGCTCAGGAGATCCATATCCGGGTTCAGACTGCGTCCGATGCCCTCGAGCAGCAAGATGCTGATGACGACGTTGACGAAATCACCCTCAAGACGGACGTGGTGCCCGCGGACCATACCCAACACCTCCTGCAAGATGTCACCAATCTTGATGTTGCCTAGCGCGAGGGTGCGGCTCTTGACGCCGAGAACGAGGTGCTGCATCTTAAGCGCAAACACTTCCTTGTCGAGCACTGCGTCAGGCTGACGGCAGCGCTCGCACATGAGGTTACCAGCCTTGTACCCATCAAACTCTGCTACAGCCCTAAAGAGGTCGAGGAAATTCGTTCGATTCGTCTCGTTGAGCTCCGTCACCAGACCCGTGTCGATGAAGATGAGTTGTGGGCGGAAGCCCTCGTTGTCAATCTTACGCAGCTCGGCCGCCCACGCCGCGGGATCCTTTCTATGGCGATAGGGCCGCAGACGGGCGAGGACCTGTTCTGTGACATCGTCTTGGTCTTCTGGGTGCTCCTTGGCGTGATTTCTGCGGAACTTGAGATCCGGCTCGTGGGATTGATAGAAGCGGACCATGATGTTGCCCGGGTGCAGATCGGCGTGGACAAAGTTGTCAATCAGCAGCATGCGCAGGAAGGCATCGAGGCCCTCGGAAGCAATGTCGTGCTGGAAGACACCGCCACCGTTCTCCATGAAGTCGGCTAGCGGGATACCCTGCGCGAATTCTTCGACTAAAACGTTGCGGGTGGTGAACTCGGTGTACGGGTAGGGGAACCATGCCGTCGTGCGGTCCTTGAAGTTCTTGCGGAACTTGGCGAGATTGGCGGCCTCGATGCGGAGGTCGAGCTGGAGCTTCATCATCTCTCCAAACTGCGCAACCTCGTCGGGGAGGGAGAGCCATTCAATGGTGGGTATAACGTTGAGAGCGGAGGCGAAGAAGTGCATGATGCGCAGATCTCGGCGGACGGTCCTCTCGACGCGGGGATGCAGGACCTTGACAGCGACGTAGGTGGAGGGAACCCTCTTGGGCGTGCTCTTGAGGGCAGCATCGACGTTCTTTGCGACCTTGTGACGGAGCGGCCTGGGTTCTTCCGGAAGGTCTGCGTCACCGGGGGCCGCGAGACTGGCCTTGAGCTTGGCCCGGTAGACCTGGGCGATGGCGCCTACGCCGAGGGGCTTCTCGTCGAATTCCTCGAAAATGTCGTTGAAATCGCGTCCGTCAAAGGCGGCAGAGACGATGCGCTTGGTGTCGTGCATGGAATGCGCCGGGGCGTTGGAGTGGAGTTTGGACATGATTTCGCACATTTCGTTTGGGAAGATGTCGGAGCGAGAGGCGGCCCATTGACCGAGCTGCGTGGTGTTAGTGACATCGTCTCCTTTCGGGATTGAGGTTGCTCGTTGAACGGTACCTTGATGAAAGCTGGGCCAGCCCATTCCATGGACTGGACCAAGAAGCCGTACCACCATAGCGTCCCGCTCCTCTCGTTGTCGCGATCTTTCTGCCGCCTGCCGAGCCACAGAGCAGGAACAGCGACGATGACGGGAACAAAGATGACGAGCAGATGGAGAAACCGGACGCCGGTGCACAAGGGCTCCCAAATATACACGTCCACAGCTATCTTCAACGTATGCCACGCCCTCGAGATCCCGCTATCGTCGTCGGCAACCTTCTTCTTAATCTCAGCTCGGCTGACCTCCAGCATGCGCTTCTCGCCCGTCTGGTCGGTGCCTCCATTATCCTTCTCCGAGAGCTCGAAGAAGGCGGCAGTGCCGAGTGCGCCGGCACCTGCTCCGCCGGCTCGGAGAGTATATCTCGTGTATCTACTGCTACTGCCGCTGCCGCCGGCTCGCCATGGTATCCGTCTCGGTTGGTGGGAGCTCCGGAAGGTGCTCCTGAATGTGGAGTAGAATTGGGCGGTGGTGGTGCCGTTCGGCGCTGGAGCTCGGAAGGCCGGACGTGGACAAAACCGGCCCAGGACGAAGGCCAGTCTCATCTCGAGGGAGGATCGGGGGTTGATGATCGGAGGACGGGTGTCATGTTCTCATGAAGGTACGTTGTGAAGGTGAATTCGTTCAGTGGGGGGGGGGGGGGGGGGGGGGGGGAGAGGGGGGGGGGGGGGGGGGGGGGGGGGGGGGGGAGTGGGGGGGGGGGGGGGGGGTTGGGGGGGGGGGGGGGGGGGGGGGGGGGGGGGGGGGGGGGGGGGGGGGGGGGGGGGGGACGGCGCGAAAGAGAGGTGAAGTCGCGCGGCGCCCAGGATCGCGGGATCGGGGACCACGGGGTGACGGACGAATGCGAATGGAATAGGGCGTTTTTGGTGCCATTGGGTGGTGACGTAGGGATTTTTGGTGGCACTGGTGGGTATCTTCCTTTAGCTGCGGCGGGGAATCTTCGGGGGATCATGTGCCACTCGGTTCAATGACACTCGCATTTTTAGCACTCTGCACATGCACTGACAGATACCTAAGTGAGTGTATTGTACGTATTGCGTGCAGCAATTGGTTAGGCGTCGCGGGTTGAAGTCGGAAAGCTGTCGCGGGTCTGTCCGATGGCGACAACGCTGTTCTGCAGGGGATGCTTTTTTTCTTTCTTCTCAGCGGGCAGGGCACAGACAGTGAGCCACTGCGGTCCCGTCGATTACGGATGCTAAGAACCCACCGTGGAACCTCGCCGTTTATCCACGCCCTTTTTTTTCTCTTATCGTCGATTCCGTCACCCAAACCGTAAATCTTTTTTTTCCATTCCCAAGCTTCATTCGCGATACCTTCAACCAACTTCACCACTTTACCCGTGTACTCGTCGCGTCCAACCTGCTTTCTTGTACAATACCTTACTTGCTCTTACGACTTATCTATTTTACCTAATCTCTTCGACTGTACAATCATGGGTTGGTTCTGGGCCGATGCTCCTGCGACAACCGTCCACGCGACGTTCGCCTCGTCGCATCCTCATGGCGCTATCCCATCCGGCTCACCTCCTGTACGTTCAATCACCAAGCCAGCCAACCAACAACTGGCATCATCTAACATCTTTCAGCCCAGCTGCCCGATGCACCAAAAGTCCGCCGATGCGTTAACAACCGCGAAGCCCGCCGCTTCCGCTCCTCCCTCCGCCTGCCCAGTTCCTCATGACCAGCGCCACGCAGCAGCAGCTCCTCCTCCTCCTCCCTCAGCGTGCCCCGTCCCCCACGATCAACGGCACGCCGCCGCAGCACCGCCAGCATCATGCCCAGTATCCCACGACGCACCAAAGCCCGCCGAGTCCAAGGGCTTCCTCCAGCAAATCAACCCCCTAAACTACATGTTCAAGGAAATCTCCCAGGCACCCGCCGAGAACCAGGCCGTCGCGCTGCCCACGGAGAGAGAGCCCTCGACGATACCCAGGGGCTCCGGCGACGGCAACTGGGAGTATCCCTCTCCTCAGCAGATGTACAACGCCCTCCTGCGCAAGGGGTACACCGATACCGACATCACGGCCGTCGAATCCATGGTCTCGGTGCACAACTTCTTGAACGAGGGCGCTTGGGCTGAGATTGTCAGCTGGGAGGAGCGCTTCGGCAAGGGTCTGTACCGGGGCTGGCAGGCGTGCAAGCGCGGCGAGGAGAACTCGGAGGATATGGTTGAGAGGCT